ATGTCCCAAAAATACAACTCTATCTAACCAAAATTCACATTTCTTAAACTTAGTATATAACTGCTTGTCCTTTAAGACCTGCACAACTATTCTCAAGTGTTTCGCATGTTCTTCCTTAGTATGAGAATAAATAAAGATATCATCGATAAATACAATTAAAAACTTATCGAGAAAGTCTCCAAATACCCTATTCATCAGATCCATAAAAGCTGCTGGGGCATTTGTTAACCCAAATGGCATTACCAAAAACTCATAATGACCATATCTCGTACTAAATGCTGTCTTAGAAATGTCATCTCCCTTTATTTTAAGTTGATGGTATCCAGATCGCAAATCAATCTTCGAAAATACAGATGCACACTGAAGTTGATCAAACAAATCATCAATTCTCGGTAATGGGTATTTATTTTTAATTATCACCTTATTCAACTCTCGACAATCAATGCACAGCCTCATAGTACGTTCCTTTTTACGAACAAACAATACTCGTGCACCCCATGGGGAAAAGCTAGGTCTAATAAAACCTTTATCTAACAACTCTTGTAATTGTAACTTCAACTCTTTTAGTTCAGTTGGGGCCATTCTATATGGAGCCTTAGAAATTGGAGATGTTCCTGGAATTAAATCAATTACAAACTCTATCTCACGATCTGGTGGTACCCCAGGTAAATCATCAGGAAATACCTCTGGAAATTCTTGTGCCACTGGCACATCACTAAGATTCGAATTGTGTTGTGCTTCAATAGCATTAACACTAACCAAAAACCCTGCACACCCAATATCTAGTAACCTTTGTGCTTTTAATACCGATATGGTTGGAACTCTAAAATCTTTTTCGATCCCAATGAATGTAAATGGCTCATTTCCCAAAGGTTGAAAGGTTACTGACTTCCTCATACAATCTATAGTAGCTTGATATTTTGACAACCAATCCATACCCAAAATTATATCATAATCTTTCATTTCTAACACAATTAAATCTGCATAGAGCTCTCAATTTTCTATGAGGATCGCACATGCTCTTACAATTAGATTGGTTTGTTGTACATCTCCAGATGGAATAGTTACACTATAACTAACCTCTTGTATATCAGGTGTCCTACCCAACCTCCTCACATACTTAGTAGACACAAATGAATGTGTGGCTCCAGAATCAAATAGTACTAGTGCTGTGATGCCAAAAATAGAGAATTTACCTGTTACCACGGATGGATCAGATCTGGTAATAGTAAACACCCTAGCTGGCACTTTCTTTTGCTCCATAGGGTTTGGATTACCTGGGCATGCTCTAGCAAGATGTCCCATCTTTCCACAAACATAACATGTTCTAGTCTCTATAGGACATGCTCCAGTATGCTGTCCACCACATTTGGGACAAGATGGTTGTGTTGTTGAGGCTTTTCCTTGATCTATCCTTGGACGTTTGCCCTGATCCCAATGTTGTTCTCCTTGTCTCGGTTGAAACTTAGGCTTCTGATTTTGTCCTTGGAAAGACCTTTTCTTATCGTTTCTACGCCAATGCTGTCCTTGACCTTGCCTAAACTGTCGACGAGCCTCTTGAGCACGACTAATCCTTTGTTCAGCTTGTTCTGCAACTAAGGCTCTCCCGCAATTTGAGAATATGAAACATCTAGGATTCCTGCCATGCTTACATCTCTATATAGTTCCGGTCTTAGCCCCTCAAGAAATCTTTCTACCTTTAGTACCTCGGTATTAACCATGTGGGTAGCAAACCTGGATAGTTGTTCAAACTTACAAATATACTCTCCCACTGTCATCCCTCCTTGTCTTAATTGTATAAATTCATTCATCTTCATGGCTCGAACAGGAGCTGTAAAATATTTATTACGAAATAACTCTTTAAATCTCTCCCAAGTCATGGCATTTACATCTTCAATGCTACTCATCGTATCCCACCAATGTCCAGCACTACCTCGTAGCATAAAGGATGCACAAACCACTTTTTCTACTTCTGAGACTCTCGTATACCTGAACATATTCTCTAAAGTTCTCAACCAATCCTCTGCTGCAGTTGGATCTAATTGATCCTCAAATATTGGAGGGTTTAGTTTTCAAAATCTTTCTCCAACTGTCTCAATATGTTCAGCCCTTTGCTGTGGTTGAAAGAATTCAGCCCTTTGTTGTTCTCCCCTTTCTCTTTGTTGTATTAATTGTTGAATTTGTTGAGATTGGCGCTCAACTAATTC